TATTTCTCGTAGGGTTGAGAACAATGGCTTATTTATTGAAATCTCTTGGTACAAATTTGTTGAAGAGAAATAAACCTAAGATAGTTCAGGTCAAATCATCATTAAAAAAATGTCAGACCACTAAGTACATGCCAGATTCTATATTAATCATGGGGGGTGTTCAAAGATAAATAAAACAGAATCCTTGCTTTCAGAAGTTCAAATTCTGGCAGGTAAAACAGACCCATAAACAGTGGTGCCAGTGTTACTGCGGGCACAGTATCTTATACACAGTGAGTTATCTATGCATACCAAATGTCAATGCCCAGAAATACCTTTCTTGAGATTTACCTGTTTCGATTTCAGTGTTCCTATTGCAGTTGTCAGGAGCTTGATCTTTATGCTCAGGGGGCTACCTTTGAAGCAGAAATTGTGGCCAACTAGATCATGTAGGGATTCCCTTTGCATTTTTGTGAACAGGAGATAATGTTCTTAATGTATTTATATTACTCTCACTTGTGCCAAAGAGAACTCCTCAACACCTCTGCAATTCTCCTGGAAACTTCATAGTCCACGGACTCACAGACTCTTAAGAGCCGGAAGAGGTTTTAGAGGTCATCTCCCCCATTTTCCCTCCCCAGGCAGGAACCCTCTTTAGATTGGAGTACCCGTGGCCATCAGTCAGTCTCTACTTGAATATTTCTGTGACAGAGCTCACAGTTTTCCCTGGCACTCCATTCTTACCCAGCTGTTCACTGACATATGGCTGGTGCCCCAGAAATGTTGGTTGTCATTACCTTTTTGATAAGGACTAAAACAAGGCAGGGAAATAACAGACTCAAGTCATGGGACCAATCAGGCACAGTCCATTGTGAAGAATTCCTTACAACACCTTGATTTTATGTATCAACCATATGTAGGTGATTAAATCCCTCAAGCAAGACTGGTCACAAAGGACACATATTTATGCTTTCTTAGTTTGAACTTTTCATATTTAAATGGCCTCACACTTTTGCCAAGTCTCCATTTAAGCCTGAAGGTTGAATTAAGATTGTTGACCATCAGTCATTTAAAACATGTTAGAGGGGTCACAAGTTACTTAATCCCTGAACTGGTTGATGAACATTCAAACAGAGCAAATACCACACATTTTAAAACTCCCAAATTTTGCATCGTTCATCACCTTTTTTAAGGGGGGAGGGACCAAAAAATGCTGCTAATACTGGAAATTACCCCCAGAGTGTCAAGTAGCACCTGAGAAGAGAGTGTTGCTCTGGATGAACACCCCTTAAAGTGCTCTTGGATCAAGGAGTGGGCTCTGGTTGAGCTCCAAAGTGCAGGGCTACAGGCTCGGTCAGAATAGGCTAGTGTCAGCCAGATCCTCATCCTCCAATGGCCAGGGACTCAATTTGGGCCAAAAGGACGGGGTATGCAGTGAACATAAAGAAAGGGGTAAGGCCCAGCTGGCCAGCCAGTGTGGCTCAATGACTGAGCGTCAACCCATGCACCGAGAGGTCACTGGGTTTGATTCATGGTCAGGCACATGCCCCGGCGGTGGGTCGATCCCCAGGAGGGGCATGCAGGAGGCAGCAAATAGATGCTCTTGCTCATCGATGTTTCTATCTCTCTCTCTCCCTTCCATTCTCTCTAAAATTAATGAAGAAAAAAAAATCTTTTTAAAAAAGAAAAGGATAAGAAACTTTTGTGCCCTGAGTTGCTGGGGTCAGGGCTGGGAGTTTCAGGGTAGGTCTTAAGAGTTCCCTAAAATCCATCTCTCCCCACCCGCACTCCGTGGAAGTCAGCAATGCAACGTTCCATTAACAGAAAAGTTATCAATGTTGGGTTGTGAGGATGCAGCTGTTCAGAGCAAGACCTAAAATTCTATCTGCCTTCTGTCCGCACTCACACCCGCCCCTCTCTCTTCCGACCCACCCCCCTTTTTTGCACTCTGTAGGTCTTTCATTCTCCCCGCTTACCCCACCTCCTTCCCCCATTGCCTCGGATGCTTCTTCCCCTGGAAGGGCCGCTCGGACCTAGCTGGCTCGGCCTGGCGCACGACCGTGAGCCCCCCGCCTTTCTCGCCCTTTGCTCGGGTCGGGGCAGGAGGTGGGAGGAGCTGCACGGGGCTGGCGCCCACCAGTAACCTACCGACTGCCGCGGGAGGACCACACCCTCCTCTCGTCGCTATAGAAACTGCGTCTGCCCTTTTTGTGACTCCGGAGCTGAAAGGACTTTAAGGCCCTGGTCCAGTCCCAGCCACCTTTCACACCGACCTGAAAAACACCTCTTCTCCTCCGGCTCCCATTCTCTGGCCGCAGTTCTTTAAAGTTTGGGACAAGAATTGAAGGACTTCCCAAGGACAGATTAGAGTTGACCAAACAGCCCTGGCCGGTTTGGCTCAGCGGTTAGAGCATCGGCCTGTGGTCCAGAGAGACCCGGGTTCGGTTCCCGCTAAGGGCACATACCTCGGTTGCAGTTTGTCCTTGGCCCTGGTTGGTCGTGCGGGTGGCAGCCACTCCATGTGACCCTTTCACGTCGATGTTTCTCTCTCTCTCTCCCATTCTATATGAACAAAAAATGAAAAAATGTCGAATGAGGATAAAAAAAAAAAAAAAGAATAGAGTTGACCAAACAGACCAGACTCGTGAAATTGCCCCTGCATTCTTCCTCTTCAAAGTCTGTGGTTACCAGAAGCTCATGGCAAACGTTTTGGATCGAGTGTTCGTCAGATGACTCTTTTTCAAGCACTTGCTCTGCAGCAGGTTTTAAAGGTAGGAAAACTAAGGAAAGCTATAGTTGAATGACAGTAGCATGACCTGAAGGAATACACAGTCTGGTCCATGGAAGACAGACATCCAAATAAAGCTCTTTGAAGAGCTGAGTTGAATTTGAGTTTTCAAGGACAAGTAGGAATGAACAATGGAAAGAAGACAAATAAGAGCCAGTGTGAAGGCCCAGGGCTCTGGGACCACACAGTACCATGGGTGTCAGGCAGGGATCAGACTAACTAGAAATATCTCGTGAGCTAAACAGGCTAAGGTGTTTGTGTGTGGATTTTAAGCAGAGAGGTGTTCGTACTCTGACTGTATTTTAGAAAACGCCCTCTGGCAACAATGGTATGAACAGTGGGCCAGAGAAGGCTAAGAAGGTAAGTATACCTGTTAAAAGTAGCTAAATGATGGTTTTGGAGTAAAGGACAGCAAGTGGAAGGAGAGAACAGTTTTAAGCAATTGAGGAAATGAAACAGAACTTGGTGAGGGTGATTATGCCTTAGGCACCCGAGTTTGTGGTGGTGGTGTTTGCTAACAGAAAATATAGAGGGAAGACTTTGGGGGCAGGGGGAGATGTCACTGATTTAGTGATGACTTAATACATGAAATTATCAAAGGACCAGGAAACAGGTCTTGTGTACAGTGAGATCTGAACTGAAGATCCTGATTTGGTAATCACTGTCACATGGGTAACCACTGGAGCTTGAAATCACCTAAGCTATTTATATGTATGTGTGTAAATATATATATATATTTACATAAATATATATTTACACAAATATATAGTTACAGAAACATATTTACATATATATATAATTAGGTTAGAAGTTAAAAAAATAAAATCATAATATGACACCATGGTGGGAGAAGTGGGTGTAGGTAACACAAGATCAGAAAGCTGCAACATAATAAACAATAGGCAGGGAGGTGGGGAGAAATTATAAAGAACAGTGTTAGGCAAGCCCAAGAAATAAAATCAGAGTATGATGACTAGGGTCTAAGAGATTAGATGAGAAAGAATGTACATTGGATTTGGTAACTAGAAGCTCATTAATGCTTTCTGCAAGGACACTTTAACAAACTTTATGGTAATATTTAATAGAAACTACGAACAACACGGAGAAAACAGGTTCACCTTAAGGGTGGGCTCTTAATAAGTGTTTACTGTTGAACTGCAACAATATAGGGTATCTCAATACTGTGTAAGTAAAAACTGTTTTTAAAAAGGGGGGTGGGGTAGGTGAGGTGATATGCGACAGTATTAAAATATACACTAGATAATAAAAAATGGACAACAGCAATACGCAAAGGCTCACTTTAATCATAATTCTAAATTACTTATTTTCACATTAATGTAGATGTTTCCATAACCAAGAAGAATCGAGCTAAGTATTATACATTTTTCAATGATTAATGTGATTTGAAGAATCTTTATTAAAACGTGATCAGGAGTTTGTTGAAATTCTCACCATAAATATAAAATATCTATTACTATTTTTATCCACAAATTCAGATCTAAGTTTCCTGAAAAGCTAAATGATCTAACAGCATGAAGGGATGACTAGGTACTTGAGTTCACATAAAGTGATTACTTTAACAGTCCCCCCTTTATATTTACAACAAAAGGCTAATAGATTTGGCTAAGTATTCGTTTTATCGTGAAATGCAGACAGAGAAAGATGGATGCAATGGAATCAAGGAAAAGAGCACTTCAAAACTTTTTCATGTTTATTAAATGTTTTGACAATGAGGGCTTCATAAAATGTCATGAAATTCTATTTGCTATACAATAACCATCTATTTCTAAGTAGGAGACATATGCCATATTATAGCAACTGTTCTAATGTGTAAATTCATTCTGAATTCTTACTATGAAAATATTTGGCTAAAATCATAAGCATCTTGGCAATAAAACTGACAATGTAGCTTAAGTAACATACTCCAGAAATGTCTCTTGGAAAAAATGGGAATGTTTTCTTTTGCCAGATAAACTCTGAACAAAATTAAGGTGCCATAAACTAGTCAAAGCTAGAAAGAAACCTCATGTTGCTAGAAAAAAACCAGCATGTAATGTGGACTTCCTCCATGTCAAATAGACAACCACTTAATGACAATGACTTATTATTATACATTAGGATACAGAATGTGCTCTTCATAAGGAAATGACATTACAAGATAATTCTTATAAACATACGTCTTCTTGAAGTCTTGAATAGCTTTTCAGAGAACATAATCACAAAATGGGTAGAGACAATTTATATGACATTAAACAATTCCTTTATGTTACAATATAAACACACTTATCAAACTGAGGTTCTCTTAAACATTTCTTTACTACCATACTCAGCTACTAGTGGCATTTGGATGCAGAGGTTTAACTCGTGCTAATCTGGACAAGCCAAGGCGGAGACTCTGATTTGGAGACTTAACAGACACCTCTGCCAGGGGGCTGCTGCTGCTGCTGCTGCTACTTCCGGATGCTGCTGAAAGAAAACATATCACCTGATGCTCATAATGTTATAACTCTCTTAACAAACATGAATTTATAAAGTAAAAGAGGCATAATGTATAGTTAAGCATTATTCTGCTCTACAAGTTCCATCAAGTTATAAACAAGATCAAAATAAGGGTAAGTACTAAAGAGCATAAAAAATATCATATCGCCTATTTTCAAACATCCCCAGAAAGCAAGGTCATGATACTAAAACTTTAAGCATAAAAACTGAAAAAGGTAAGCTGAGAGCACATAACACTGGTTGTAGAAGAATAAAAAAACATGAATGCAATCATTTCTAAAGTAGTAGAAAAATCTGTTTTTTAAAAACTCCTGCAATTTTTACAAGTACTCCTTTGAAAGAATCTATTTTTTCAAACACTAAACATGACAAATACTGGTTTTATTTATTTATACTGGCTGCATTTATGCTACCACTCTAACATAATGCATTAAATAAGGCATTAAATGTCAAAATCTATCCACATAAATGTTCATAGTTAATCATGACTGTAGTCATAAACAGTACCACTGTGTGTGCTTTTTCCAAGTAAAGATTATAAACATTTCCATGTTTCTAATCATCTGATTTATTCTTAATTCAATGTGTGTGCCATATATCAAATTCTTCTGACAAATTTTCCAACTGTTTCATTTCCCACCATTTTTATATAAAGTTATAAAAATCTGACCACTTATTACTTTTTCTTCTTTTTAATTCTTTTTAAGGTATATATTCCTAGGACTAGTTCCTAGGCCAAAGGACAGGTTTATTTTTATGGCTCCTGCCAAGCTGTCCTACCTATAGAGGATTATAAGTTTATAATAAATAATTATACCTGCTATCCCATAACTCAGAGTGCCCTAGATTATATTGCTTTACTATTTTCTAGTTTGAGAGGTATGTTATTTTATAATTTTAGTTTTTATTTCCTTAATTACCAGTGAGATTGAAATTCTTTCCAGATTCATTTCTAGTTGTATCTCTTGGGAGCATTAGTATGTTCATGTCCTTGGTTCATTTTCCTTTTAAATAAAACAGTAAATAACTGGTGACCTGAAGGTCACATCTAGCTCTCAGATATACTGTTTGGTCCACATGGTGTAAAAATTTGTTGTTTTGTTTTAAAAACTAGGAGATTTCGCCAGGTTGGTGTGGCTCAGTGGTTGAGCGTCGATCCACGCACCAAGAGGTCGCCAGTTCGATTCCGGTCAGGGCACATGCCCAGGTTGTGGGCCTGATCCCCAGTGGGGGCATACAGGAGGTGGCCAATCCATGTTCTCATCGATGTTCTGTCTCTCTCTCCCTCTCCCTTTCTCTCTCTCTAAAATCAATAAAGAAAAAATAAATAAAAACTAGGAGATTTCTCATGAAAATCTACATTTCTGGCATCTCTTAAAAAAAAAGACATGGAAATAACGGCCCATAATCTGCACGGAAGCAGTTGGATGGAGCTGGGCAAAGCTGCTTCCTTCCAAGGGGCTGTGAGCTCTCAGGTCCAACCTCCCTACGCACTCAACTCTATGAGCCGGGCCCCATTCCCTCGCCTCACCTGCCCTTCACTTTCACACAATGAACCTACGAGCACTTTGTACTTTATAATGTCAACTCTTCATCCATCCATTCCATATCATTTCACTATTTCCTTTCTATTTTTTGTTTTTTTTGCTATCTTTAAATTTCTAGTCATTACATCATTTCTTTTAAATTCCTTTTGTTGGGGAACCACTAATTATTCTCAGGAGAAATACACTAAGGAGTATCCTTTAAATGACATGGCATCATTAATTCAGTGACTAATCTTCCTCCTTTCTTTCTCCAAAAAAATTTAAGTCCTCATTAAAATCTTAAGAGTTTTTAAACCAGAAAAGACTTTAAAAATTATATAGTGCTTAATATTTCAGATGATGAAGTCTTAGAAATTAAGTAATCATGTCTCAGGCCTCAATCTGTCTATTAATACCTAGTCATGACTAGGGCAGTGACCACTCAGGAAATGTCACTGAAAAGAAGTAAAGTAAACCTGAGTAGACTTGGAATGACTTAGAGGAGAGGGGACAAATGAAGAAAGACACACTAGAAAGAGAAAACTAAATAAAGAGAGACTCTGACAGAACAATAAAGACACGTGTTCAAGGAGCAAATAATGTATCCATTTCACTGGAACAGAGGATTCCTGTGGGTGGAGGAGGGAAAGTCGAGACGGAACTAGTTAGGAAGCCACCAGTTTGGAAATAAAATGAACGGGGCTGGGTTAGGATTTTAGTAATGTCAAGAAGGCTGAAGGTCAGAGAATTCTTCAAGCATCAGTGACACTTGGCTGTGAAACAAGAGAAAACAGAGGCCAAGCCTGTATGAGCGCAGGCTGAGTTTGCTAGGGCGTTTGCTGAGTGCTGAGCTCCCATGAGCAGGCAGGCCCGATGCTTCTTCCATGGGACTGTGAAGGCCAGCAGGTCTGGAGCAAACAGATTTGTGGCCAAAAACATACATCAGGAATCTTAAATGTTAATACTCTTTGACACTGCAATTCTCCTACTAGGCATTTATCCTAAGACAATAATCGGGATGTGCCCACAGACTTCAAAAATAAGGATGTTTGAGCTTATTGCAACTACAACATTAAGAACTAATAAACAACCTGGATGCTCAATATGAAGGAATGATAAAATAAATGCTTTTGAAGAAAATGTAATAATATGCATAACATTATTACATATGTATTACAACCAGGAAAACAGTCTACCAGTGGTGACTGTGCAAGCCCCTGCCCTTCGTCAGTGAACACGCCGTACCTGGTGGCACCCACTTCGGCCTCTTGCTTTCAGCAGCAGGACTGCACATTGGGGATGGTTTCCTAGTGGCCTCTGAAGAAAGAGAAACCTTTTTTGGTGAGGGCTGAGGTCCTGATTTGATGGCAGCTGGAGCAGAGTCCACTGAAGTCACTTATTGGAAAAATACACATAAAATAGTTTGTCATAGAAGAAGATTAAGTCTAGCACGTATGTGTAAAAGTTTTAGTGATATATTCATAAAAATTAAAAAGGCAATGTCACTTTGGAAAATTCTTATCAATCAATAAACATGTATTGAAAGCCTGAGAATACATCTTTATGAGCCTTTATATGATAGGCAGTGTAGTAAGCACATCCTAAACATCATCTTTAACCCTTGCAGGGGTGGGGAATCGTTGGCCTGTGGGCTGTATAAGACCCACGAAATCAATACCAGCTCACATCACACGCCTCACCAAATTAGCCTGACCAAATATAGCAGGCTAATATTTAAGTTGATAATTTTGTATGGCCTGCGAACTACATTATAAATATCCAAATGGTCCTTGGCAGAAAAAGGGTTCCCGAGCCCTGTGAACAACGCTGATACAGGTATTACTATCCCCACTGTCAGGTAAGGAAACAGAGGTTAAGCAAACCTCCTGTAGTTTGCTCGCTAGTAAATGTTGTAACCAGGATTAGGAACAAGGTCTGACTCCAGAGTTCATACTCCTAAATACCACACAACAGTGTTGCGTCAGCAGGCGTCAGTGAGACGATGTATTAGGCTCTGCGGTTACAAAGAGTGTAACTCACGGACCCTGCTCCCAAAATACTTCTATGGTCCAGTCACTGGACTCCAGTAGAAAAGGCAGCAAAATAAATAGATGTGAATAATGCAGTGTGATAAGAAATATGACAGACTCCAGAGATATGCACAGTAGGAGGGAACCTACACTCTGTGTATATATCCGCATAGGCTTAGGAGTCACAGGGAGGTGGGTAAGGTTAGTCTGAGCCAAATCAAGGCTGGAAGGTAAGATGAGTTAGAAGAAGTTTCCCAGGCAGAGGGAGTAAGAGCAAAGCTGGAGAATGCAGCAAGTTCCAGGGCCCGCTGCTGGTTGAGTGTGGCCGGAGCCAGCCGGCCAGGGCTGGAAAGGTGAGAGATGTGGACAGCGTGCAGATCGCTGATGGAGAGCTCTGCATACCAGGGAAGGAGCCATGCATTCATTTCTCCCAGGAGTGCTTGCACTTCAAAAACCTCTTTCTGATGGTAGCGTATGGCAAGCAGAACACTGAGAAGGCTCTCATGGTAATCCAGGTGAGAGGTGAGAAAGGCCTGAACTAAGGGGGAGAATAGAGGGAAAAGCAGTAGATTGATATCTTTTAGTAATTAGATGGGAGCAGGTGGTGATGGAGATGAAATAATCATGACCTGCAAGTTCCTGTCACGGGCACACTGCTTGATGGTGCCATTAACCCAGGGAATAAGCACAAGAAAGGGAGGCAGTTTGATTTTTTTCTTTTTTCTTTTTTTGAGGTGGTGGGGGAAATGAAGGGAGGTGGAAATTACTTTCAGATAATGCTTGCTTTGAGATACCTAGAGGGGAATCTAAATGCATATGAATATGAAAATTTTTACTACATAGTCTTCTTAATGTTAACACTTACATTCCTTTTTTTTTTTTTAATCCTCACTGGGGATATTTTTCCATTTGTCTTCAGATAGAAAGAGAGGGAGGAAGGGAGAGAGAGAGAGAGAGAAACTTTGATGTGAGAGAGACACATCAACTGGCTGCCTCCCGCACAAGCTTGACCAGGGCCTGGGACAGAAGCAAAACGGAGGTACGTGTCCTTGACCGGAACTGAACCTGCGATTCTTTGGTCTGCGGGCTGACGCTCTAACCGCTGAGCCAAACTGGCCAGGACCTTACATTCGTTCTTAATGTTAACACTTACAGCCCTGCTGAAAGCTTGATTTTAGCCCAGTGATCAGCACTGCTCAACGGAAGCTTTTCTGCGATGATGGAAATGTTCTGTTTTGTGCTGTAAAATTCAGGAGCCACTAGCCACACGTTACTGAGGACTTGAAATGTGGCTAGCAAAACCAGAGAACTGACTTTTAAATGTATTTAATTTTAGCCTGCATGGAGTGGCTCAGTTGGTTGAGTGTCGCCTTGTTCACAGAAAGGTTGCCATTTCAATTACCGATCAGAGCACATACTTGGGTTTCGGGTTTGATCCCCATACAGAAAGCAACCAATCCATCTCTCTCTCTCTTCTTCTCTCTCTCCCTCTCTCTCTCTCTTTCTCCTTTCCTCTCTCTAAGCATGTCCTCAGGTGAGGATTAAAAAAATTTTTAAATTTAATTTCCCTTAACTTAAATGTATTATAACTACAAGTGGTTAGTGGCTACCGCATTGGTCAACATAGATCTAGAATTTGCTCCACCAAGGAAAAAATTACATTTGCCACATGAAATATTCTCAAAGGCTACTCAATACATTATTAGTGGAACTAGAAATATAACCTAATTCTTTTTCTTTCTTTTTTGTTTTAATCCCCACTCGAGGACATGTTTCCATTGATGTGAGAAGAAAACACTGATCTGCCGCCTCCAGTATGCACCCTGACCCGGGATCGAACCTGCAGCCTAGGTACGTGCCCTGACTGGAAAGTGAACCCACAACCTTTTGGTGTACGGGATGATGCTCCAATCAACTGAGCCACCCAGCCAGCCAGGGCCACCTTCCCTACTTAATCCCATTATTTAGGAGTTAAATTATACCTAGTATACATTAAAATTCCTTATGAAGCACTTGACCCAAGTCATACAGACTTTATATGGTAAAGTCCAACTTGGACACTAACGTTTTATTTTTAGTTTTAGTGTGTGTCTTAGGGAGAAAGCACAAAGAAATACCTAAAGAAAATATAAACTATATTCATATTGTTAATGACTTTTTCATATCAGTTTGTGGTAGGCAGAATAACGGCCCTTCAATAATGTTTACATCCTGATTCCTTCACAGCAAAGGGACTCAGCAGATGCTACTAGGTTAAGGATCTTGAGGTGGGGAGTTTCCTGAACCGCCGGACGGGCCGTGTTCTCAAAGGGTCCTTGTAGGTGAAGGTGAGAAGCAGGGGGTGAGAGTGCACGCCATGTGATGTGATGTGAGGAGGTCCCTGCCACTGCTGGCTCTGACGACAGAAGTGGTCATCTAGGCCAAGAACAAGGGGGCCTCTAGAAGCTGGGAACGGCGGCTGGGCTCTCCCCTCGGGCCTCCCAAAGGAACACAGCTCTGCTGAAAGCTGGAGTTTAGCTCAGGGAGAACCCTTTTGAACTTGTGATCTACAGAACTGTAAAATAATACATGGTGATGTTTAAGCCACTAAGTTTGTGGTCATTTTTTGTAGCAGCAATTGAAGACTAGTACACGGCTTTATCTCTAAAACCCCCTACATTCGAAATGTAATTTCTGAAAACCAGATCAATTTGTCAGTTTTAAAAAAACAATAATTAAAACCTCATTAATTCAGAATACAGTGGAGAGAGGAGTATGACTCAATCAGTACTTAATTCTTATTTTGGAGCAAGTACTCAACACCATGCTATTTGAGGCAAGAGCAACCCCCACCATTAGTAAGTGGAGTCTGAACAATGGAAATTTTCGTTTCAAAAAGCATTTATATTAAGCAAGTAAGACATAAAATACATATATTAACCAGTAAAACAAATCAGGTTAATGGAAGTTAAGTTATATTCTAAGTTCTTTCACAAAAGAAATGAGTATTCCATTTTGAAATTGTCACAAATTGCAAACGTTCTATTATAAAAATTATTTCTAATGGAATTTGTTTAGAAAAAAAACAAAAAGGCCCTAAACATGTGGCAAAAACAGTTCTCAATTCAGAGAGGAATCAAGCATGAAAGCAAGAAGTCAGAATCACGCAGAGCTGCCTGTTGAAATCGCCTGGAGAAAGTGTAGTCCAGTGGACAGCGTTTAGGCCCCGAATGGACAAACCTGGCTGCAGATCCTAGCCCCTCACTCATTAGTTGTAAGAATCATAACAAATTATTTAACCTCTCTGAGCCTCAGCTCTCTCCCTGCAGAACGCAGGTGGTAGCAGCTATCTCAGAGGGGGGCTGTCAGTGCTAAAGGGAGGCAACACACAAGAAGTGCTAGACAGGAGCGGGGCGCAGTGCTCGTCTGCTGTTCTTCCTCCCCCGCCCCACCCCCTACCTATTTCACCTAGAAATGAACACTGGCAAACTTTTAAGGAGAACGAAGACAAAGATACGAAAAACCCACTAAATGAGCCAAGTACATTTTCTTTATAAAGTGAAGTGTTTTGAACTGAGCTTACCTAATACATTACATTTGGATTTAGGTTTCTTCTCTTTCTTTTCAACTGGGGATTTAACCTTCACTTCTTTCTTTTTAATTTCTTTACTTTTTCTCATAGTGAAGTCTTCATCATCATCTTCACTTTCACTAAAATCAGAATCCTCCTCAGAATCTTCACCTGAAACAAAAGATTACATGCCTCATCTTTGTTATAAATAGTGAGGCTTCTCTGGCCTTGACTTTATGTACAGCCTTTGCCCCCGAGTCTTGTGTACCTTCGTGTTAAGCCATTTCCCGTGTGAAACACTGCAGTTATGGAGAGCATGGTGGCTGGGTTTGCATCCTGGCCCCTCCACCTATATGTCACGGGACCTCAGTCAGGTTGCTCACTAAGTGGCCTGAGCCTATTTCCTATGGATAAGGTGGGGATAACTATAAAACCTACATTGCAGGGTTGTTGTGTGGACTAAATGAGTTAATATAGGTAAAACATCTGGCATACAGCAAGCAAAATAGAATCCCCGTTAGTAATTTTTACTTCCGATTCTACCAGTTTAACTTACTAACTTTTGGAAACAATGGTAGGGTATAACATTGGCTACTCTTTCGAAATGATAACCTCGATGGTATTAAAACAGTACACTTACCCTTAGTCACATAAACTTCAACATTCTAGAATACAAACACACTGGGAACTGAGGAGACTAACTTTTCCCCTACAACCATAACAGATAATGCTCTTCGATTTCATTTGGAACATACTTCTCATTTTCCACAAACTCTTTTCCATACTGCATGCGATGATACGAGCCAGTGACATAATGCTAAGTAGGCACAGATACCCTGGGAAAATGTACAGAGGACACCTGATAGTTAAGCAGTACGTGCTCACTGCAGAAGACGGAAACCGCACAAGGAAAAAGACGGTCCCCTCCCTGGTCTCACCACTCGGAGACAATCACTGCTATGTCCACCATATATAGTATCTACCTACCTATTTACATGAAATATACTTTATGTAAAAGATAAAAATATATATGAAAAATCTCAAACATACACAACAGTAGATAATAACAAACTGCAGCAATCCTCAATATTTTGGTGTATTTGTTTCATCTATCTCCCCTTTCTTCCTCTTTTCTCATCCTTTTCCTTCTTGGAGTTTATTAAATCTGAAGCATCATGTCATTACACTGCTATATACTTCAGAATGAACCTCTAAAAAACATGGACTTAAAAAAACAATGTAATTATCATATCTGACAATGTTTAATAATAGTTTTTTGGTATCATCTTCTATCCAGTTCATACTAACACTTTTAATACCGAGCGATATCCCCTCCTTTCCCCATAGCCCCATATCTTTGACTTGTTGAAGTAACCAAATCAGTTGTCCTATAAAATTTCCCACATTCTGGATTTGTCTGTTTTCTTCCTCATGGTGCCATTTAATTTATTCTTGCATTTTCTGGGAGCTGGAATTTTCTCAGGACTCAATTAGAATCAGGCTCACCTTATCATTATTATTAGTATTAGTATTAGTATTATTACTTTTGTTACAGATGTTTCTCCTTTTTCCCCCATTGACACCCTCCTCCTGTTCCACCCCTTGCCCCCTGCATTGTTGTCTATGTCCCTTGGTTATGCTTATATGTATAAGTTCTTTGATTTGTCTTTTCCCTCCCACCCCTCGACCCCCTCCTCTGAGGTTTGTCAGTCTGAACCCTACTTCTATGTCTCTGGGTCTATTTTGTTTATCAGCTTATTTTGTGCATTATATTACACAAATAAGTGAGATCATGTGATACTTGTCTTTCTCCAAATGCCTTACTTCGCTTAGCATAATACTCTCCAGGTCCCCCCAGATCTCAAATGATAAGAGATCTTTCTTTCTTACAGCTGCAGAGTGTTCCATTGTGTATATGTACCACAGCTTGTTTATCCACTCACCCACTGATGGACACTTGCGCTGGTTCCAGATCTTAGCTATTGTAAATAGCACTGCTATGAACATAGGGGTGCATATATTCTTTCTGATTGGTGTTTCAGCTTCTTAGGATATATTCCTAGAAGTGGGATCACTGGGTCAAATGGCAGTTCAATTTTTAATTTTTTGAGGAAACACCATATTGTTTTCCATAGTGGCTGCACCGATCTGCATTCCCACCAGCAGTGTACCAGAGTCCCCTTTTCTCCACACCCTCGCCAACACTTATTGTTTGATGATTTGTTGAAGGCAGCCATTCTGGCAGGTGTGAGGTGATAGCTCATAGTTGTTTTAATTTGCATCTCGCTGATAATTGCATTTTTTCATATGTCTCTTGGCCATTTGCATGTCCTATTCAGAAAGGTATCTATTTAGGTCCTCTGCCCTTTTTTTTTTTTCTAATCTTCACTCTAAGATATTTTTCTATTTATCTTCAGATAGAGTGGCAGAGAGGGAGAGAGAGAGAAATAATGACCTGAGAGGAACACACCAATTGGTTGCCTCCCGCACAACCCCAACCAGGGCCAGGGATGAACTGCAACCAAGGTACATGCCCTTGACCAGAATCGAACCCGCGACTCTTTGGTCCATAGGCCAATACTCTAACTGCTGAGCCACACTGGCCAGGGCCCTCTGCCCATTTTTTAATTGGATTCTCTGTCTTTCGTTGAGTTGTATGAGTACTCTATATTATTTGGAAATTAAACCCTTATCTGATATATCATTGGCAATTATGCTCTCCCATATAGTGGGTTCCCTTTCCATTTTTATGTTTGTTTCTTTTGCTGTGCATAAGCTTTTTAGTTTGATGTAGCCCCATGTATTAATTTTTTCCTTTGTTTCTCTTGCCTTAGGCGCTGTATCAGTGAAAATTCTGCTGTGTGTGATGTCTGAAATTTTGTTGCCTACATTTTCTTCTAGGATTTTTATGGATTCACAAGTCACATTCAAGTCTTTTATCCATTTTGAGTTTATTCTTATGTGTGGTGTAAGTTGGTGGTCTAGCTTTATTTTTTCGCATGTAGCTGTCCAATTTTCCCAATACCATTTCTTTTTTTTTCTTTCTTTTTTTTTTTTTTATCCTCACCCGAGGACATTTTTCCATTTTTTGTTCAGGTAGAGTGGGAGGGAGAGAGAGGAACAGAGAGAGAGAGAGAGAAACATCGATGTGAAGGGACACATCGAATGGTTGCCACCCGCACAACCGACCAGGGCTGGGGACAAACTGCAACCGAGGTACGCACCCTTAGCGGGAACCGAACCCGGGTCTCTCAGGACCGCAGGCCAACACTCTAACCGCTGAGCCAAACCGGCCAGGGCCCAATACCATTTCTTAAAGAGGCTGTCTTTACTCCAATGTATGCTCTTGCCACTTGTGTCAAATATTAATTGAGTATAATGTCTTGGGTCAATTTCCGGGTTCTCTGTTCTGTTCCATTAATTTATATGCCTATTCTTGTGCCAGTACCAGGCTGCTTTGATTATAGTGGCTTTGTAGTATAACCTGGTATCCAGTATTGTGATCCTTCCTACTTTGTTCTTCTTTTTCAAGATTTCTGTAGCTATTCAGGGTCTTTTTTCGTTCTCTATAAACTTTTGTAGTGTTTGTTCTAGTTCCGTGAAATATGTCACTGGTATTTTAATGGGGATTGCATTGAATCTATAGATTGCTTTGGTTAGTATGGGCATTTTAATGATGCTAATTCTTCCAACCCATGAACAAGGTATATGCTTCCACTTTTTTTATATCTTCCTCTATTTGTTTTTTCAATGGCTTATAGTTTTCCGTGAACAGGTCTTTTACTTCTTTGGCTAAGTTTATTCCTAGGTATCTTAGTTTTTTTTGTTGCAATGATAAATGGGATTGATTTTTCAGTTTCTCTTTCTGTGTGTTCATTATTGGTGTATAAAAATGCCAATAATTTCTGGATGTTGATTTTATATCCTGCTACTTTGCTGAATTCATTTATTAAATCTAGTAGTTTTTTAATTGAGTCTTTAGGGTTTTCTATGTACAATATCATGTCATCTGCGAATAATGACAATTTCACTTCCTCCTTTCCAATTTGGATCCCTTTTATTTTTTCTTCTACTCTGATTGCTGTGGCTAAGAGTTCCAGTAACTATGTTAAAGAGTGGCAAAAGTGGACATCCTTGTCTTGTTCCTGTTCTTAAAGGAAATGCTTTTAGTTTTTGCCCATTGAGTATGAATTTACCTGTAAGTTTCTCATAAATCGCCTTTATTAGGTTGAGATATGATCCTTCTATTCCCACTTTGCTGAGAGTTCTCTTAAAAAATGGATGCTGGATTTTGTCAAATGCTTTTTCAGCATCTATTTATATGATCATATGATTTTTATCTTTCATTTTGTTTATGTGGTGTATTACATTTATTGATTTGTGAATATTGTACCAGCCTTGCATCCCTGGGATAAATCCCACTTGGTCGTGGTGTATAATTTTTTAAATATATTGCTAGATTCGATTTGCTAAGATTTTGTTGAGGATTTTGGCATCTATGTTGCTCAGGGATATTGGCCTGTAGTTTTCTTTCTTTGTAGTGTCTTTATCTGGTTTTGGAATTAGGATTATGCTGGTCTCATAAAAAGAGCTTGGAAGTCTTTCTTCCTTTTGAATTTTTTGGAATAGTTTGAGGAGAATAGTTGATAGTTCTTCTTTGAATGTTTGGTAAAATTCCCCTGTGTAGCCGTCCAGACCAGGGCTTTTGTTTGCTGGGGTTTTATTGACTACTTCTTCTATTTCCTTAATTGTTATTGGTCTGTTTAGGTTTTCTGACTCTTCCCAGTTGAGTTTTAGAATAGTATATGATTCTAAGAATTTGTCCATTTCACCTAGGTTGTCGAATTTGTAGGCATATAATTGTTCATAGTATATTCTTACAATCCTTTGTAGTTCTGTGGTGTCTGTTATGTCACCTCTTTCATTTCTGATTTGATTAATTTGGGTTCTATTTGTTTCTTGGTGAGTCTGGCTAAAGGTTGATCAATCTTATTTATCTTTTCAAAGAACCAGCTCTTGGTTTCATTGATCTTTTGTATTTTTTTTTTTTTAGTCTCTATGTCATTTATTTCTGCTCTGATTTTTATTATTTCCTTCCTTCTAGTAACTGGGTTTTTTGTTGTTCTCTTTCTAAATCTTTAAGTTGTTGGGTTAGATAGTTTATTAGAAAT